CATTTTGACCCCACGGGGTGAGATCTTGCGTGGAGCCCCAGATCGAGGGAGATTACCAGTGGTCTTGTATGTCTTCCATTTTCTAATAATTGCTCCCACAGTTGATTTCTTCACACCAAGCTGCTTACCTATTGCAGATTCAGTCTTCCCAGCCTGGTGCAGGTCTACAATGTTGTTTCTGGTGTCCTTTGACAGCTCTTTGGTCTTGGCCATAGTGGAGATTGGAGTGTGACTGTTTAAGGTTGTGGACAGGTGTCTTTTATACTGATAACGAGTTCAAACAGGTGCCATTAATACAGTTACCAAGTGGAGGACAGAGGAGGCTCTTAAAGAAGAAGTTACAGGTCTGTGAGAGCCAGAAATCTTGTTTGTTTGTAGGTGACCAAATACTTATTTTACTGAGGAATTTACCAATTAATTCATTACAAATCCTACAATGTGATTTCCTGGATTCTTTCCCCCCATTCTGTCTCTCATAGTTGAAATGTACCTAGGATGAAAATTACAGGCCTCTCTCATCTTTTTAAGTGGGAGAACTTGCACAATTGGTGGCTGACTAAATACTTTTTTGCCCCACTGTAACTTTAATTAAAGACATGACGACTAACATAATAAAACTGAGCCACTTAACTTCAACTAATCACATAATCCATGATTCGTCATTATTGTTGTATACAGTAGACATTTAGAGGAAAGAAAATTACCCAGATATTAAAGCCCTTTCTCTTTTACTATACAATGAACAGTTCTCTTTCAAACAACCACTGTAAGAATCATTGTTCCTGCAGCTCTTCTAAGTATCACAGCATGCAGTGGATGGCACGCCGCCAACATGACAGGACAGTTTAAACAATTAATGCTCAAAGATATCAGCCAGTGAGGGAACTCATTCCAGATAAACTGCCAGTCTGATGATACCCTCTGGAATATCCCATCCTAACATATGCCTAATTGTTTACTACTGCTTGTTTACATAAATACAAAATGTTGCAGGGGGGAGGAGGGGGAGAGAGAGAGAAGGGGGGGGGAGAGTGGAGGAGAGTCAGTACACTATATGAGAGAGAGCCGGAGAATTAATAACAATTTGTGGCAGATAATTACTTATCAATTAAAGCTGTTATCCTGCCTAATTAGGCAACGTTCATTAAATTCAGCCAATTTAAACCTTAATCAAAGTTAGCAGGGCCTGACAGCTGCAGGAGGATCAGGGGAGCAGCGCCCCCTAGTGGAGGAGGGGGGGGGGGGGGACTACATCAGTGAGTTTTATAGTTTTAATTTTTAATTTTTTTTATTTTTTATTTGTCTAATCATTTGAGAATTAATAAGGAAAGGCTTTCTCAGTTGTATATATTCTATTATGCATTTTTATTATTTCTTATATTAACACGATGATGATGATTATTCATATATTTGTATTATATATTTTGTTTATGGCTAGTACTCAGATTGGGATTTTGCAAGTATTAAAACAATATATTATATGTGTTGTTGTTGTTGAATTAATGTTCAAGCCAATATGAATTTACTAATTCTGTGAAATAAATGTCTAAGAATAAAAAGTAAATAACTTCCTTAGTATTTCAATCAAACTGAAATAATAACCTATAAGCTTTATTAAATCCAGTCCTCCCAGTATCCAGGCAATGCGTCCAGTACTTTATTTATATCTCTGAAGGCCCAAGGTTTGCTGTGGGCAATTTGAACCTAATTTAGGAAGATGCACCACTTTAAACACAATGTCATCCGAAATAATGAACTTCTGTAGAATAGTTTTGATCCAGACCGTAAGACCGGCAGAAATCTGTAACTTAAAATCTGTTATGGATATTATGCAAATGAGTGACAGTTAAAACACATTTGCGGACATCCAGTGAGTATATTAGACGTTACTTCCAACACAAAAGCCATTGTTATATTGTTTTCAGTTTTAATCTGACACCAGCAGGTTAAGGTGATAAACATCAGGCATGTCTGTAACAGGTCGAACTTTAGATGAAGCAAAACATTCTCACCGCACACAAAGCTCTGGGTTTTCATTTGTTGACCCCACAGTAGCGGGAAACTGCCGTGTAGTTTTTTGGAGTAACTGTATACAGTGTATACTGTACTGAAGTACATTACTTGTACTTGAGCTATTTCCCACCAGTAATCTTTTGCAGTAGTGGAAGTAGTTTATACCAAAATGTAGTTACTTTGCTACAAGAAAAGGTTCTGCAATACATTTTGAACTTAGCTTAGTAAAAGCAAACATACAGTATAAAACATCTAAAATATTAATTATACAAATTCCTCCATGTAATAAGAAGAATATTTATTTATTTAATGAAAGATTGATAATGCAGTGTAAGCAATTTGGAGATATGTATTCACACGGTTTTACTGTTAGGTAGTTTAATATTTAGAAAACAATCATATTTAATAAGCTTGCTTTTACTCATCTTACTTTTTATGTAAAATATTATTACTTAAAGTGACTAGAAAAATGTTAATATATTTTTTCATTTTTAAATAAAAATACTTTTCAACTATGCCTGTTGTTAAATGTAGTATTATTTACAAAAGCTTTATTAAAAACATCCCCATGCACATTGACTGGGTGTATATCCCCCCCCCCCCCCCCCCCCCTTCACCCTGTGGCCCCCCAGCTCTGGTGTTTGAAAGCCTTCACTTCCAAGAAGTGTAGTGGCCAATTGACAACAAAGCACGCGCTTCTCGGGGCGCCTCAGCGCGAGGAACTAGTTAATTAATATTGGCTCTTGTTTGGTCTAGTTAATGAACGAGTGAATTATGCACCTCTGGGATCCCCGCCCCCCCGATCGCTTCAAATTATCCCCCGCCCCCCCCTCTGAGACATTGTCCTCCAATTTCCCCACTCTGATCCTGCACTGATGGGGTCCCTGTCACCACACACACACACATACACACACACACACACACACACACACACACACACACACACACACACACACACACACAGAGATACACACGCACACACACACACACACACACACACACATACACACACACACACACACACACACACACACACACACACACACACACACACACACACACACACACACACACACATACAGATACACACGCGCACGCACACGAAAAATGGAGGTTAGACCAATTTTACTGGGGTGCCTTGGTTACATGTGTAAAAGACTAAAAGTCATAACAATTAGAGTTATATACATTTTTAGAAGTTATAATTCTCGTTTGTTAAAGATATAAAAGTCATAGCCACAAAAACACTTCATTATTGGTGTTTGTTTCAGGAACATAATTTGAGTCAAGGTCTAAGTTACAATTTTATTGTAATTATATAAAAAAATGTAAATACAAAAAAATCCTCTTTTTTTGGCGACGACATAGCCTTTGCTGCAATGTCGTTTTTTTTCGGGGGCCACATGGGGGTCCAAGCTCAGTGTTGGGGCACACACACACACACACACACACACACACACACACACACACACACACACACACACACACACACACACACACACACACACACACACACACACACACTACCCCTGCCGTCTCCATCTGTCTGTCTTTGTCCTGCTCGGGTGTGTTTTAGTTCTTTGTCTCCAGCACATTTATTGACGCCTTTTTTTGCCAGTTTTTTTTAATTCAATGCTTCTGCTCGACCTCGCATCGTCAGCTCAGGGTGGCAAATAACTTCCATCCCATTAACTCGTTTGAGAGGGGAGCTATAGTCAAACAAAGCTTGGCCGCAATCTGATCCTCTCTCTCCCTCACACACACACACACACACACACACACACACACACACACACACACACACACACACACACACACACACACACACACACACACACACATATGCACACGTGCACACACAAACACACACACTGAGTCCTGTTGGTCAGAGAGGGAAAAAAATCCATATTATTTGCATTAAAAGCCTCGCACCGTGAAATTCATTTATAATTACAAAGCGGGGTGCTGTGTGTGTTATGCAGATCAGGGACATGTGTGTGTGTGTGTGTGTGTGTGTGTGTGTGTGTGTGTGTGTGTGTGTGTGTGTGTGTGTGTGTGTGTGTGTGTGCGTGCGTGCGTGCGTGCGTGTGTGTGTGTGTGTGTGTGTGTGTGTGTGTGTGTGTGTGTGTGTGTGTGTGTGTGTGTGTGTGTGTGTGTGTGAAGTAAGTGGCTCGGATTGGTTATTTTGTGATATGCTACACAGAATGTATGGTGACAGATTGCAATTATCCCGTTATTGTAATTGTCAAAGTCAATTCACTGCAGGCTGAGTGCAGGCTGCATGAAAGATACATGACTTGGATTTGGTCTCTGTGACCTTTTTTTGTCAATCTTGTTAAACAGTCTCTGATTTAACAGACACACTGCTGTTTGGACATCACTGCAGGATTAACGTTGACAAGATGAAGGCTGTTTATTTAAAATTAAAGTATTTTCAATGTGTCTTTACGTCATAGAGAGAAGATGCTGCAAAACAGATGCAAATCTTTAATAAACCTGCAGGCAGACTGTTGTGTTTCATGACATCCTTATTAACAAAGTGTTGGCAGGATACAGTTTCCTTCATTTATTGTGAAACCACGAACCTAATGAGCATCTTCAGTACATGTGATATAAAGAGTTTTTTGTTTTCAAAGTTAAACTGTGCTGAAATATCTCTTCGTTTCTCTGCTCATCTTCATGGACTTACAGCGCCCCCGTGTGGTAAATAAGGTGTAAAGCACTTCTCAGCATGAATATAATTAGTAATATTAATAATAGTTATCATAATTATAATCCACAAATGGCTTTATAAAATAAACTGATATAAATTGATGAAATAATGAAATAGCTTATAAACCAGACTAATATTATTCATTTAAATAATGGCTATGATCTGTTTTTGCGAATAGATTATTCATATAGGCCTAACTGATATTTCCACCGTGTTTTGAAGGAGTGGCTGCAGCGTGCGGAGGCGATCACGTGACCAAAACGTGCCGCACACCTGCACGTGTTTGTGCCTAATGGATCTCTTTCTGCCAGGTTGAAACTTCGTATTATACATCCATGGTTGAAACACACACACTCTGCCGGTGTTATCAGCTGTGATGGCAGAGTCTCGGAGGGTCCAGCTCACCACGCTGTCCTGTGAAGCCCCTCTCCCCACCCAGCCGGCCCTGGTGGAGGTGAAGCACCCCCCTGGTGTTGTTCAGGAGGAGGAGAAGTGTTTGGACCGGCCTTCAGAACCCAGCTCGACCCGCCTGGTGCTCAAACTGTTCGACCCTGATGAGAGAAGCTTTCCGGAGTTCAGCTACACTCGGCTCCTAGACAACAAGGTGAGATGTATTTCTCTTTTCTGATTAGAAGAGTGTACTGATGATTCAAGAGTTTAGTTTTCATATCAAAACATCGATCCATGACCAACTTTTCTTAACTTGTTAAACTGTGAGTAGCCTCTCTATGAAAAGGCAAAGTGCATGACCTCAACTTTTATAAATTAACAGACAATGAGGGTTGTTATTTGAAATCATTGTTGTTAATTGTAATTTAGCAAACATGTGTGTAGAGTATTCGCATTTGGTCTCTTTGGTCCTTCTGCAGACACCGTACCGGATGTAGGGATCTACATGCTGCGTGCGAGTAGTGTTGTGATAACTACCAGGTGTATGTAATGTTGCTCCGTTACTATCAAGGTTATTAAACCAAGTTCTATAACAAACATGACTCGTTTATGAGAATAACAAACAATGTGCTCCTGTTTTGTAAGTCATGATTCACATTGAACTGGAATATGACTTTTGTTCTAAGTTATGATTCTTGTTTACATTTTGGACATTTTAATAATTAAAGGTGGGGTAGGTAAGTTTCATTAACCGGCTCGAGATACACTTTTTGTTATATTCCATGGAATGCTCTTAACATCCCGATAGCCATGAATATCTTAAGTGCTTTGACAAAAAATCCATAAAAAAATGTCATCTGTGGAAGCCGTAATAGATGAGCGTAACAAATGCGTCACTATCCGGTCAAAAATAACGGCTCCGCCCACTTTTGGGGAAAAACAACGCTGTCAGTTGTCAATACAAATTCTGAAGTTTTTGCCAATCCGATCAGAAATGTAAGAAAACCGGAGACTTTTGGATCTTCAAAGAGCCTGATTCCAATGGCCAGACAGGCAAACAATTACATTAAGCCATTAGAAATCGACGATCGGGCTCGATATATGGTTAAATATAGCAGTAGGCGATCGATTTTCATAGATGAGAGTAACATCTACGTGACTTTACGGCCCCGCCCACTTTTGGGGGAAACCAACGCTGTCATTTGAATGGCGATCGAGCCTGAAGCCACAGAGCTCTTCTGTTACTGTCCTTTCTTCTTAGAGGAAGTACAGAAACACTGAACTCTGGATTATTGTTTATGTTTGAGGTGCAATAAACGATAAGGCAGCTTTTTGGCATGATGAAACTATTATGTTCCGCCTTGCTCATGAGAGTAACAGCTGGAGAAATTACAGGCTCGCCTACTGATTTTAATTTAACCATATATCGAGACCGATTGTCGATTTTCCAATGATCAAATGTAATTGTTTGCCTGACTGGCCATCGTAATCGAGCTCTTTGAAGATCCAAAAATCCACGGTTTTCAAAAAAATGTGATCGGATTGGCAAAAACTTCAGACATTTTTTTGACCGCCATTCAAATGACAGTGTTGGTTTCCCCCAAAAGTGGGCGGGCCGTAATTTTTGCCCGTAAGTGACGTAGGTGTTACTCATCTATACTATAAAAAGCACGACCAATCCGTTTAGCCGGGCCGCCCTGTCTGTCAGCCTTCCATCTTGTGCACGCACAAATGTATCTCGTGCATTGCGCGTTCCTGTGTGTTGGAGGAGGTGCTCTGTAAGGAAGTCTGAAGGAAGGGGCGGATTCTTTTTGGCTGTGTACTTTTTACTTTTTTTTTTCTGAAACTTACCTACCCCACCTTTAAGTGATTCAATAAAATCATTTTCAAGCTTAATACTTAGTCCATGCATGACTGGGTTAACATTTATTAATACGCGTTTTCTCTTTCAAACTTTTAATATAAATACATGGGACTTAAGGTAACAGTATGGCAGAACTCTGAGGCACAACTTTCATATCACCCAATGTATTTTTTTATTTAAATATGGAGATTTATTTTCCAATTAATTCCTTAGGTTGGCTTTCTTTTAACTCACAAGATTATTTGCGTTTTGTTAGATGCATTGATTGGGTGCTCTGAATCCATGATAGTTGTCAACTTTGTTTGTCCTGTGAGAAATTGCCCATGCTTTTTGCTGCACATGCACAGATTATGCATATACGGATGTTAATGTGATTGTTGGTGAGAGAGCAGATTATGTTTTTTTGTAATTGATTTGAGACGTTATCTAACTTTTAGATAAACAACACAAAAGTCCCACTGAGAAGATTTGATGAGGAAGAGAAGAGAGAGATCGACGAGGTCGTGGCTCTTTCAGGGGAGTTGGAGAAAAAATATGTAAGTAGCTCTGAATTATTAATGAATATACCTCAACATTTCAAGGGACCATCAAATAAAATCAAGAGTTTGAATTGGACCAGAACTAACACTGATGTATTTGATTGAACTCTTTATCAGAAATGGCATCAGATACAAATAGCACAACAGTATTTTGCAACCTTTCATCGCAGGCAGACAAACCAAAGAATAAGGACCGTATCCAGGACCTGATCGATATCGGATACGGTTATGATGACGAGGATTCCTTCATTGACAACACGGAGCCTGTGAGTCTGTGTTAAATCACATATTTGGATTTCCCCATGATATAGTTTGTTTATTATCGTCTTTTAAAAACGTGTAGTGTTTTATGAAGACGCAGTTTTGATATTCTGTATCTCTGCCTTTTGTTGTTACTGAAAATATTGTTTCAGGCTTTTTCAAATGTACCATAATCAACACTGATAATAAATACTCTCTCCTGGAGCAGTGACTCATTTTGATGGCACTCTGAATTAAACAACTTTTTCCAATATTTAAAAAAGGGGATTAGCCAAATGTCCTCTGCTCATACATTTCAAGGCCCGTCATCTTTTCTTTGGCTTGATGTAAAGTTTTTCGTATCGACCAAAGCTATTTAAATCAAATTCTAATATTGCTTTTGGTTAATGTGTGTAGTACGATGAGTTTGTGCCGGCCTCCCTCACCACCAAGTTCGGTGGATTCTACATCAACTCTGGCGTGCTGCACTTCCGCCATACATCTGAGACCGAGGACCTCAAAGCAAGAGAGAAAACTCCTGAGTCCTCAAAAGTAAGTCTACAACCCAGAAATAAAATGTTCAGTGCCGTTTCTTAAGTGATTGAGTTCCAAAACTGTTCATTTTTAGAAACGTAAAGTCAATGACGGACAGGATAAGCCGAAGAAGAAGAAGAAGCGCTGCAGAGAAGAGGCGGAGCAGACGATCAGCTTTTTGGATCCTAAGTCAAGGTGAGACTACCCAAATCACGCTTACCTCATGTTTACTGTGTATCCGGTTTCACTCTGATTCAACCTTTTTATTAGCTTCACAACATAAATCTCTCCATGTTCAACTTGCAGCCCTTTCACTGAACTGGCATCGGACGACAAGATCAAGAAGAAAAAGGTTTCCCACACGTTGAGCGTCACCAGCATGTTGAAGAAGTTCCAAAGAGAGAAGGGGAAAATGGATAAAGTAAAACCAAGGAGGTCTGCGATCACAATGTTCCCGGCAGACGCAGGCGGGGGGGGGGGGTTTGGGACTGACAGACCCTCTCCTCAGTTTAATCGGATCAACCAATGAGCACACTCTCATCCAGGCAGTCAACGCAATGGATTTTCACATCGACTCTTTATTAGATGTTAGTGAAGCCGCTTCGTCCACAAAAATGGCGCCTCCACCTTCAACAGAAACGCAGCTTTTCAGTCCCAAAACAGAAATGACCCAGTCTGAGGCTCGCCCTCAGGTTCTTCCTCCAATCAATGTGCAGCTTCAGTTAGAGCAGATCCAGATCCCGACACACACCAGTTCTACATTACCTCAGTGTGTCCCGCTGCCGGAGGGACTTCCCCCCCGACTGGAGGACAGCATTAGGAAACTCACGGTGGTAAGGTCCTTTTGTTGTTTGCCAAAAGTGATAAAGACTCACCTGTGAACACAGTGGTGCAGGAATGAGTTCTAAAAGTAAGTGAAATGAGGTAGCCCAGAATTGCTAAAATGTCGATGGTTTGTTTACTGAAATAAGGTTTATTGTTAATACAAACTTACAAGTTTTTCGACACCATAAAATACAAGGTAACACCCCACTAATGAAGAAGTAATGTAATCACTCCAAACATTAGACTCTTTTAGCTTAGCGTGGTGTCATGCATCCGTCATGTAGACTGTTTATAGCATAACAACGTGTGTTGATATGTGGAGATTATCCTGCTGAACAGCATTCCATAAAAATGCGTTTACCACAGTTCTGCAATATTGCTTTTTGTTGAGGGAACCCTTGGGTTGCTAACTTTCAGGTCGGCCTACAAAAAACATCATCACTGCACCGCTCTATAACGTTTATTGCAAAAGGAAAATGGCATGTATGATGTGCAGATGATTTACATATTTCTTTCAGGTTGCCAAGACCTCCGAGGGAGAGTCTAAACTAAAGTTCTTCACTCCAGAAATCAACTCAATGCTGCTAGAGTGAGTTATCCAACAGCACAGACTAAGCAAATACTATACTACCTAGAGTGCATTAAGAAAACTCCCATTTGATCTTAGAACAGCAACTTCAATTGGAATTTTTAAAAGGACATTTAAAGACCTATCTTTTTAATTTGGGGCAATTATAATTTTTTTGTAGAATCACTTATTGTTTTATGGTTCAGTGATATACATATTTCTGTTTGTTTATACCTTGTTTTTAATTGTGTTCCTCATTTGTTATTGTCAAGCACTTGCTGCGTTCACCATGAAAGGTGCTATATAAATAGAGTTTATTATTATACGTTTTAGTATCAAGCATTGCACAGAACACACACACACACACACATGTTTCCTGTACATACAATACTTACTGCTGAATTCCTATACTACTTGAAGTGTGTTTCAATCTTTAGCTGTCTATAGTAATGTTAAACAGTTTCTAAGTGTGTGTTAATGCTCTCTGTGTGTGTTGCTCCAGTATTGAGTTGCAATGTCGGGAACAGGGGGTCCAGCTGCGCTCCAAGGTCTTCACACACCTGTCGTCCTTCCTGCCCTGCAGCAGAGACACACTCCTCAAACGTGTGAAGAAACTGTTCCTCGCACACACGGTGAGTTTTATTTTTTATCACACGTAGTATGTGTTTTTCAAGTTTTAGATCTGCATGTGACTTTTATCTTGAATTTGACACTGACCAGGAGGAATACTCTGATGTGGAGAACCGCATGGAGAAACTGAAGGAGGCCGTCTGCAGAGCCATGCCCGAGCAGATTGCAAGTTTCAATGAAAGCTGTCAAGTATATGAGCAAGCCAGGACTTCAAAGTAAGCACTTGAGCATATATCTTGTGTGGAAAATTCCTTTAATTTACTTGCATGGTACTGTTAGATTGCTATTTGCTAACAGAGGAGCCAAAAAAGGGCCATTTGGCTTCAAATTATTAGATTTTTATCTTTTCATCTATCAATTATGAGAATATATTTATTTCAAAGCCTTGTTTCCATTTTGTATTCACACATATTTTTGTGCAGCTTCTCCTCAAAAACGACTGTATCCATAATTTGAGGCCGTACACTTGATTCTCCTTAGATCATGGTTTGGGCTCATGTGGCTCTTTTTTGTCTCATCTTAATCTCTGTGTTTTAATGTCAGGGCAGCGGAGGAGAAAGAAAGCAAACAGAAGGAGAATGTTGGTCCAGAGGACAACATGGAGGAGAAAGGCGGGAAAAGAGGAAGTCCAAAGAAGCTGTTCAAATGGAACGAAGAGATAAGGTCAGATTTAATCATCATTAGATTATTTAAAATGTTAAATAACCTAATTTTAACTTTGTGCCAACATCTCTCACACAGGGAGTGCCTGTGTCACGTGTTAACCGTGAACATGGAGAGGTATAAAAGACAGAAAAGGAGTCAGGAGCTGGAGGACTATCTGAAGACCTTTTTAGACCATGAGGTCAAACTGCTGTGGCCAAAGGGGTGGATGCAATCCAGGTTGGTCACACCGGGGCTAACTCAGTCTCAACAGCCTGATTTCTCTTACTGTTAAAACAATTCCTCATTAAAATGCAATTCAATATCTTATCCATACTAATATACCACTATTGTGTATATATACCTGTCATAGATTGTGGTACAATGTGCACACCTCTTACTTTAACTTATATTTGAATACTTGTTTTTCATTCTATCTTTATTGGACAGTTTAACTTAAAGTTCTCTTTACATATGTATTTTATTTGACCATTTATTAAACTTCTTACTTAATATTTTTGTTATACTAATATTTCTATAATTTTATTATGATTTATTTTCAATCTAAATTTGAAACCCAATTTTCCTAAAGAAAGTAATCTGATTACTACTCAACATGCGTTGTTTCAGGGTGCTGATAAAGGAGAGCAGGGAGATGTTGAGCCTCTTTGCACCATTACCGTGAGTTCCTAGTCTAGATGCTTCTGGAAATGTTACGAAAGTCTTGATTTATTCATTTTTTAGTTAAAAGGATTTCCAAATTCACTTCTCACATGTGTTCTCAGAGTGAAGAGGGTCCGGCCTGAGAAGAAGCAGTCGCCTCTCATTTCTCCTCTCGCTACTTCGGATAACTTCAGCGTCCTCCAGGAGTCTCCCCTGCTGAGCAGACCGCCTCACGACTCAGACGATGTCATTATCGTGAGTTCAAATCCCTCCAATCCAGGTATTTGCTGCATATATTACACACATATATATTCTAACAATGTTCCTGATAAATAATCGTGTGTATGAGGCTCACTGGCAGTGAATGTAGGGGATTACTTTAGTCAATGTTATTGTTTGTTTGTGTTTTTTGTAATTATTTTTTCTCTCTGTACGTACAATCAGTACAGACCACTGTCTCATTTGTATGCATATATTTTGCTTTCCATCTCTAAATGACAAACATTACTTATACATTGTCGAAACACAATAAAAAGATTTTTGATCAGAAATCTCTCCAATCCAGTTTCTCTTAGTTCTGAGAATAAGGAAACCTTGCTGAAGGTGGAGGGTCAAACGAGAAGGATTTCAGTGGATTCTGCCTCCTCTAGACCTGCTGACAAACTCCCGATAAACGCCAGATATGCTCAGACTCAGTCCCTCGTGGAGCTCCTCGCAGAGCAGGCGCTGGCTCGTGTGCAGCCGATCCCCCAGGAGTTCCTGGCAGCAGCCGTGGCTAAATACAAGCGTTCAGTCCAGCACTTGATCCTCGGGTCCGACACCAGAAGTCCTCCGGTCCCTCCTCCGCCCCCTCATTCCAGCCCGGTGGGTTTCCCGTTGTGTCGAGTCGTTGTGCCTCAGCAGGTCAGAGACGTCCGCCGGCTCTCTGATGCTGGACACGTGCTGATCATCTCAGACGACGACGACGTTATGCTACAATGACAACTCCCGGTGCAGATTTACACGCTGTACGTTTTGTTTAATCATATTTAGTTGATGTATTTTTGGATGAAAAAACTCTAAACAGCAAATATCCTGATTTTCAGTCCCTACTATAGAATTCAAACATTAGTTTAAATGTTCAGGTAAAAGTTTGACGGATAACCTTATTTAATAGGTCTTTAGTAATAAAATAATGATCTGACAAAATGTCAAACTACCATTAATAGCCTTTTTTGTAACATTTAGGATCAAACCATGCAAGACTTAAAATAAGTAAAGACTTATTGTTTGACAAAGTACAACCCAGATATGGAATATATAGTAAATGAAGGTTTGTTCAACTTTGTTTATTTCTCTCTTGGTGGGAGCCGTTTCTTGACTGGACATATGTTGAGATTATATCAAACACAGGAGTTACGACACCAAAATCAGCTGTGCAAATGAGTTTCTCATCAAAAGTCAATTGGCTAATGAATATGACTTTTAGTCGACAGCTACAAGTTGAGATTTTTTTTTTTTTCAAATGGAAATGTGCTCCCAACATTTTCACTTGTTTTGCATTTCATCTGAGTTGGGAAGTAACCAAAGAAATGCTAGTTTTGTTTTACCTATGAAAGGAGAAATGGCACCAATTTAGAAATGAACAGACTGTTTCTGATAACATCTTGTGAAGAACTGTGACCCTTTAATCAACTTGTATTTGAGAGGCGTTGTTTATAATGTATGATTTAATTTGAATAAATAATAAAAAATTAACATGTTGTGCAGCCATTTGATTTTAGATCAATTGTCTTCAAAGGTAGAGACACTGAAAGAATGAGTTAATGAGCCTTAAGTTTCAGTATTGATGCCTTACACGCAATAAATGCATTACAAAACACTAAGTGTGCATGTGCAAAGTGGCCGACTGCTATGTTTGTGACCTGGGGTGTTTCTCAATGTCGAAGAAGGATGCTCCAGAGCCACTATTTCAAGGATGCTACGTCATCGAGTCCCGCCAAAGGACTGTTCCAATGTCCAGGATGCTTGGAATTCTACCGAGGCCGGCGTCCTTCGTTGTGGGAAAGTTCTAGGCTGCACATGTGTATCCTCCGCGGTCTTAAAATCCCCACAATGCTTTGCGTACGGACCAATTTGCAAAATCTTTGGCGGAAAATGTAAGGCGGGGCTTCTCATATGACGCACACTTGCTAGCCTGTTCCATTCTTCGTTTTCGGAATGCCAGGAAGGATTCTTGCCTAGCTTCTGATGGACCTGTGGGAAGACATGTCCCACCAAGGAAGCGTCCTCGACATTGAGAAACACCCCAAGTCTTCAAATATTTCATCCAACTTTTATTATTTTGTATTGCTTTAAAACCAGGCATACCTTTTACTTTTAATTAACAGTTTCAACTCTTAACTTACGCTTGCCACTCTTACAAAAGTTTGACATCATATCAACGTTAGACCCTCGATGTTATGTTCATTTTGACCATATTTTGTTGGTGAATTGGCGAGGAAGTTAAAGTCTAAAGCAAGAAAGCACTGATGTTCGACAGGAGAATTCAGCATTTTAATACACAGCAGAATGAACATGACTTTAATGAAGGATCTGGAGCATTTCAAAAGTCTGGACACCACCTGTTAGTATCTTATACTACAGAAAAAAACAGCTGTACACACGACACAAACATTGTTTTGTGTCCATAAAATCTTTATGGCAGTACGAGTTTTGATTAGTGAAATGTACGAAAATACATTGTGAATTATTTCTACAGCAGCTTTCAGTCTTGAATATATGGAAGTTAGTTTGTGCGGATTACATAAAGATCAGATTAAAAGTTATTTTAAGAAAATGTACCTGTGCAGAATCTCTCGAAGCAGAGAGGTTTATCTGCTACTTAGAAACTCCCTCTGGGGAACTTTGGGATTGTATCCTTTGCAGACCATTTACATGCATAAAAACATATCACACTGCAGGAAAGGGAGACGGAACGAGTTTTCACTGACAAACGTTTCTCACAGCAGAAGCAGATTTTTGGAATAAAAATCATCACACATCACGTTGAGTCCTTAGTTTTTACGACCAGTTGATCGTCCAAATAAGCAAGACGGCCAACAGGAAATGCCCATTGTAACTGTTGGTAGTTCCTAAGAAGAAAGAGACAAATAAATTCCCTTGATACAGGATGTTTTAAAACTATTTAGAAAACATAACAATGCACTCGAATATTCAGGAAGGAAAGAACGTTTAAACCTCGTTAATAGGAACTCAATATGAAAGAACAATGGGGCTGTAAATATAGGTTTCAGGCATATGAAGCACTAATACACGTACCTGTGCCAGGGAGAACCTCCACTTCCACTGTGAAACGCGTCTGTCCCAGAAGAGACTTTGCAGTAACTGTGTAATTCCCAGCATGCTCTCTGCTGGAGTTAGTAGGCAGGGCGACCACCTCTCCGTCTCTGAACCAGGTGACGGATGGCGGGGGGTTTCCTCTCGCCTCGCAGCTCAGGCTCTCCCCCTCCCTCACCCGCAGCTTAGTGGGACACATGAGCTGTGGACCAACTGGGAGAAACGTGTCTGAGTTTTAGGTTCTGTGTGAGAGACATGCGAAATACCCACAACTGGCTAGAGAGAGACACAGATTGTTTCATTCAATGTCTTGTGTTTCTTTGCAGTTGTTTTGTCTTGTGATCACTGTTTGTCTCTAAGCAGTTGTTGTTATTTTTGGTCTCTGCATAGTTTTGTGTCTCTTCATAGTTGTTTTGTGTATTTGTGGAGTTGTTTTAGGTCTCTCTGTAGTTGTTTTGTCTATAGATTATCTTTCTTGGTCACTTTGTGTCTCTGTGGTCGCTTTGTGTCTCTGTGGTCGCTTTGTGTCTCTGTGGTCGCTTTGTGTCTCTGTGGTCTCTTTGTGTCTCTGTGGTCTCTTTTTGTCTCTGTGGTCACTTTGTGTCTCTGGTCTCTTTGTGTCTCTGTGGTCTCTTTGTGTCTCTGTGGTCTCTTTGTGTCTCTGTGGTCTCTTTGTGTCTCTGTGGTCTCTTTGTGTCTCTGGTCTCTTTGTGTCTCTGTGGTCGCTTTGTGTCTCTCTGGTCGCTTTGTGTCTCTGTGGTCTCTTTGTGTCTCTGTGGTCGCTTTGTGTCTCTGTGGTCGCTTTGTGTCTCTGTGGTCTCTTTGTGTCTCTGTGGTCGCTTTATGTCTCTGTGGTCGCATTGTGTCTCCGTGGTCTCTTTGTGTCTCTGTGGTTGCTTTGTGTCTCTGTGGTCGCTTTGTGTCTCTGTGGTCGCTTTGTGTCTCTGTGGTCGCTTTGTGTCTCTGTGGTCGCTTTGTGTCTCTGTGGTCTCTTTGTGTCTCTGTGGTCTCTTTTTGTCTCTGTGGTCACTTTGTGTCTCTGGTCTCTTTGTGTCTCTGTGGTCTCTTTGTGTCTCTGTGGTCTCTGTGGTCTCTTTGTGTCTCTGTGGTCTCTTTGTGTCTCTGGTCTCTTTGTGTCTCTGTGGTCGCTTTGTGTCTCTCTGGTCGCTTTGTGTCTCTGTGGTCTCTTTGTGTCTCTGTGGTCGCTTTGTGTCTCTGTGGTCGCTTTGTGTCTCTGTGGTCTCTTTGTGTCTCTGTGGTCACTTTATGTCTCTGTGGTCGCATTGTGTCTCCGTGGTCTCTTTGTGTCTCTGTGGTCTCTTTGTGTCTCTGGTCTCTTTGTGTCTCCGTGGTCGCTTTGTGTCTATCTGGTCGCTTTGTGTCTCTGTGGTCGCTTTGTGTCTCTGTGGTCGCTTTGTGTCTCTGGCCGCTTTGTGTCTCTGTGGTCGCTTTGTGTCTCTTTGTAGTTGTGTGTCTCTTTGTAGTTGTGTGTCTGTCGTGATCTCTTTGTCAATGTGATTACATTTGATTGTGGTTATTTTGTGTCTCTTGTGGTCACTTTGTGTCTGATCTATTTGCTTCTCTTTGTAGTCGTGTTGCCTGTCTTTGTAGTTTACGTTACTCATGTGGTTGCTTTGTGTCTTTTTTTGTGTCTTTGTTTGTTTAGTCACTTTTTGTAATAGTTTTTTCTCTTTGTAGTTATATTTCTTTGTGTCTCATTAGAGTTCTTTTAGGTCTCTTTGCATGGCCTTCATAGTCTCTTTGGAGTTGTTTTGCAAACATATAGTTTGTCTTTCGTGGTCGCTTTGTATTTCTTTGTATTCTGTATTATATCTTTTCCGATTTTTTTTTTTTATTGTTTTGGACTTTTTCTTGTGTTCTGTTATGGTGTTGCCCCTTGTGTAGTGTGTTTTGTGTCCCTTTTAGTTCTGTGTCTCTTCCTTGTTTGCACGTCTCTTTCTGAGTGATATGTTGCCAGTGAGGTCTCTGATTAATCAGATTAATGATAAAAACCTAGAGGACATTATTCAACTTCTGAAATCCTCCTCTTGCTGCCTTGATATTATTCCAACAGGATTTTTCAAAGATGTTTTTCCTTGCATGGCCTCAGATCTACTTCATATAGTAAACAAATCTCTTCACTCAGGTATTTTTCCACAGGCCCTGAAAACTGCAGTCATTAAACCACTCTTAAAAAAGAATAATCTAGATGCTTCAGTAATGAACAATTACAGGCCCATATCAAACCTCCCACTTCTAGGTAAAATCATTGAAAAAGTTGTTTTTCAACAGTTGAGTAATTTCTTGCATTTAAATAACTGTTTCGATGTGTTCCAGTCAGGCTTTCGTCCAAACCACAGCACTGAGACTGCTCTTGTAAAGGTCTTTAATGACATCCACTTAAACACAGACAGTGGCAGAACTTCAGTGTTAGTATTATTAGATCTCAGTGCTGCGTTTGACACTGTTGACCACAGCATATTACTAGACCGACTGGAAAACTGGGTGGGACTTTCGGAAACAGTTCTGAATTGGTTTGAATCCTACTTAAAGGACAGAAACAACTTTGTTTCTATAGATAAATACACATCTGAGTTGACAAATATGACATGTGGGGTTCCTCAAGGCTCCATCTTGGGGCCTCTTCTCTTTAACATCTACATGCTACCACTGGCTCAGATAATGAAAAACAACAAAATAAGTTACCATAGCTATGCAGATGACACACAAATGTACGTAACAATTTCACCAGGAGACTATGCTCCAATTCAAACACTGAGTAAGTGCATTGAACAAATCAATGACTGGATGTGTCAGAACTTTCTCCAATTAAACAAAGATAAAACTGAGGTAATGGTTTTTGGAGCCAAGTCAGAACGTATAAAAGTTAGCGCTGAGCTTCAGTGTGCAATGTTCAAAACAACAGATAAAGCCAGAAATCTAGGTGTAGTCATGGACTCTGACCTGAGTTTCAACAGTCACATTAAAACTGTTACTAAATCAGCCTACTATCACCTAAAGAATATATCTAGGATTAAAAGACTAATGTCACAGCAGGATTTGGTAAAACTTGTCCATGCTTTTATCTTCAGTAGACTCGACTACTGCAATGGTGTCTTCACAGGTCTCACTAAAAAATCTATTAGGAAGCTGCAGCTGATTCAGAACGCCGCTGCTTGAGTCCTCACTAACACTAAGAAAGTGGATCACATCACTCCTGTTCTGAAGTCTTTACACTGGCTTCCTGTGTGTCAAAGAATAGATTTCAAAATACTGCTGCTGGTTTATAAAGCACTGAATGGTTTAGGCCCAAAATACATTTCTGACCTCCTGCTAAATTATGAACCATCCAGATCTCTCAGGTCTTCAGGGACTGGTCAGCTTTCTGTCCCCAGAGTCAGAACTAAACATGGTAAAGCAGCGTTCAGTTATTATGCTCCAAATATCTGGAACAAACTCCCAGAAACCTGCCGGTCCGCTGCAACTCTGACTACTTTTAAATCCAAGCTGAAGACTTTTCTTTTTGTCGCTGCTTTTAATTGAACTATTCACATCTTAGACTGCACTGTAACTTTGATCCATGTACTTTTTTCTTTTAATGTTTAATTGACTGCACTGTAACTTTTATCCATGTATTTTTTCTTTTAATGTTTATTTTATTAGCTTTTCTTTTTAATGACTGATTTTAAATGCCATTTTCTTAATCTCTTTCATTTTTTGTAAAGCACTTTGAATTGCCTTGTGTTGAAAAGTGCTATATAAATAAACTTGCCTTGCCTTCTGACACTTTGGGTCCTTGGGCCTGTGATATTAAGCATGTTTACTAATCCTTATGGGTGAAGAGGAGTTTGAAAAGTTGTTCAGAGACCCATAAGAGACAACTTAATGCAGGGTTCGTAGCTACGGTCATTGAAAACCTGGAAAAGTCATGGAAATTCAATATGAAAATTCCAGGCCCTGGAAAAGTTATGGAAAACAATATTTTTCACAAAGTTTTGGAAAAGTCATGGAAAAAGTAACTAAAGTTGAGTCAAATATAATTTACATTTTATTTAATCGCCGAAATAATCTGCGGTCTCAATCTGTTATGTGCCATCATGACGCGCATGGTGTTATTTTTTAACATATGAAGCGCAAACTGTGTGCTCGAGTCTTCCTGCCTGTCGGGCCGGCTGAACTCTGCTGCTCCGTGATGAGGGTCAGCTACATTATCTACGGTGCGTTCGTTAACTGTGCGGAGTCACTGTGGCACAGACTGCACCGCTGGTCAGGGGCGGCGCCAGGGGGGAGCTAGGGGGTGCTGAAGCACCCCCCAGGATTGCCAAAGCACCCCCTAAGCACCCCCAAGAAATATGTGTTTTTTTTTTCTTTTTTTCCGAAAATTATTATTATTTTTATTAAATTAAATCAGAAAAATTATTGATTACATCAATGCAAATGTGAAACAAATAAATGTTTGACCAAAAACATAAAGCCAACACAGGTGATATGATTAGGCCAATGGCCAGCACCCATTCGATTTTTGACCTACCCATAGGCTAAATTACTTTGTGACACTTGAGTGACTTCCTGTTAGCTGGAGCCCCAAATTATTTGCTAACAGCAAAGTGACAAATGGATCGTTTTTTAGTCCTTAAACGTCCACGTGTGGACACTCAATCAAAACCACCTGAAAGCGAGAGGGATTCTGCACATAATAGGCCTCGTGAGTACAAGTAGCTTACTTCTGGGTCTGTTTCATTCAAGCACGAGCCATTTTGTGTGCGTGCGCAAGCGAGCGAGAGAGAGAGCTCGCGCACCGGTGGGTATCTACCGGAGATCGTTGTGGTTAGCATCTGGTGCTAGCTAGCCAAGCTAACGGATATAAGGAGCTTTTTCAACAACAAGGTGGAGGGAGAACTCTCTCCTGTCAGACTGAGTGAGAGTCTCAGATAACCTCAGCTCAGGTTAGGTTAAAGGACTCTCAGTGTTTAGATCAGTGGCGAACCGTGGCTATCACAACTGGACCTTCTGTAGACACACCCACCGCCCCCCCCTCCCCTCCGCGGCATTATAATGTCCGTCTTTTCACTGAATTGTCGTCTTGAAAAGGGTACTCACAACGATTCCGCAACAACTTCATCTTCACCTGTTGCACTTGTCATTTCAACGTTAAAAACAATAAAACGGCATGAATTGCTTAGTTGCATTCGTTCTAGATCCTCTGTCTCGAGCCAGTTAACTAGCAGGCCTTCTAGAATACCCTGGAACCGAGGGGAACGTTGAAAGAACACGCCCATTGGCTACAAATCAACATATGATTGGTTGATCAAACTGTCAGTCCAAACGTACGCTCTCATTCAGTGCAACGGCCAGGGCATTGGATCAAGGATGTAGAATACCTTGGTTGAAGGATATTCTACCCAGAGACCCAGACCCATTTTTCCCTTTAAACTGTGGGTTTTCTTCGGAAGTTTTTCCTTGTACGATGTGAGGGTCTAAGGACAGAGGGTGTCGTATTGTCATACTGATATTTGTACAAACTGTAAAGTCCACTGAGACAAATGTAACATTTGTGATATTGGGCTATATAAATAAACATTGATTGATTGATTGAGAGAACAAGATCTGATTGGTTGCTTTATTTTCTAACAAAAAACCACTGAAATGCGCAGAGCATGGTCCGAGAAGGACAAACAAATCAACGTAACACTGTAATATTACAGATCAACAACACAGATACGATTCTCATTTATTCATTTTATATACATTTTATTTATATAATTAAATCGATTTTGTTTGTTTTATCTGAGTGTTCCAGGGTATTCTCTGAATACCTTGAAGGCCCTGACGGTTCACCACTGATTTAGATAGTTCACTTTAGTCTAGTTATCTCAGTGGGTCTCAAACGGTTTGTTTTAAAAGGGGAGTGATTTGTAAAATATCTATAAAGAAATAGAAAATCTGTTTACAGTTCTGTTTCATATGTATGTTGAGAGATACTGTATATCCATAGATCTCTTCATTTTGGCTCTCAAAGTGCATCAGATTGATGCTTTTAACTTCAATATTTAAAAAAAAATCTTCCCGGGGGAGCTTGCATTTTTTTACATTTATACAAGTAAAACTACATTTTGCTTTAATCCCATGTAATTGTAGAATGAACACAGTCTTCCTTTGAAGATGTATAAGTCAGGTGTCTTGAGCAGTCAAAATTACCTAGTACAAATCATTGTACACATTTTTAAATATTATTTTCCACTTGTTACCATTGTGAGTCTATTTTTATGCAGCTCTGTGTGATTTTGTGGCTACAATTCAGGCTAATACACTACCAGAGGTGGAATAAGTACTCAGATCTTGTACTTGAGTAAAAGTACAAGTACTCAGATGATCTTGTACTTGAGTAAAAGTAGAAGTACTCAGATCTTGTACTTCAGTAAAAGTAGAAGTACTCAGATCTTGTACTTGAGTAAAAGTAGAAGTACTCAGATCTTGTACTTAAGTAGAAGTACTCAGATCTTGTTCTTGAGTAAAAGTAGAAGTACTCAGGTCTTGTACTTGAGTAAAAGTAGAAGTACTCAGGTCTTGTACTTGATTACAAGTAGAAGTACTCAGATCTTGTACTTGAGTTAAAGTAGAAGTACTCAGATCTTGTACTTGAGTAAAGTATTCTCATCAAAATATAGTGAAAGTAGCGACAGTAAAAGTAGTCGTTGTGCAGATTGGTCCATTTCAGAATAATATATATGATATGTTTTATAATAATTGATCATGAAATTGTTCTCAAAGCTGGTAAAGGTGCAGCTAGTTTGAATGACTTTGTATACTGCAGGGTAGCTGGTGGATTTACTCCAGGTGGAACTAAAGTCTGATTTAACACTTGATTATATTTCACATCATTCATCCACATCTGTAAAGTAACTAAAGGTATTAAATACATGTAGTGGAGTAAAAGTACACCTTTTACCTCTGACTTATGTTCACTGCCAACCTAAAAGTACCTCAAAAATAGTAATCAATAATGTATTGAAAAGTTATTTGGCTGATTGTTTTATATTGGCTCAGACATGTTATATGGGAGGCCCAGTCTACGTACAGATCACTCATTTTGAAATATTAAACTTAGTTTTCTTTTCTTTAATTTTTCATCCTCGTGTCTAATGCTATCACGAAACACACATTTGGTTGTTTATAGCATAAAGAACATCTGATTTAATGTGAGGTAGGGAAATAATCATTTGAGTATGTGTATATAAATATGTAATTTACAACAGCTGTAAGCTGCTTGAAAAGCTGGAAAATGCACCTTGAAAATGCTTGAATTTGACTTTGGAAAAGGTGTAAGAACCCTGAGATCTGTTTTTGGTTTTCTGTCTGCGTTGTGTTTTGTCTTGTTTATATCTGTCTATGGTTCCCTGTCGTTAGTTTCCCTGGTGTGTCTGATTACCCGATTGTGTTTACCTGTGGCCCCTGTGTTTTCTCCTCCCTCCTCACCTGTGTCTTGTTTGTGTGATTAGTCTTGTGTGTATTTAAGTTCTGGTTTTTCTGTCTGTCTTTGTCGGTTCGTCTTTTGTTGTTGACTGTGTTCACCGGTGAGTGTTCTGTCTGTCCCAAGTTCTATTTCGGTATCCTTGAAATAAAGGTGTATCAGTTTAATCTGCATTTGGGTCCTGCTTCCTTCGCTCTACCGTGACAGTGTGTGCGTGTGGGGAGTGTTGCAGTAGAACATTCAACTGTAGCGCTGGTGTATTAATGGGAAACCCTTAATGTTTGAGCACCCTCTATGAAACGTCAAGCTACCCCACAGCACCCCCTAGAGAAAATCTCTGCCGCTGGTGAACAGCTGTTAGAACGGGCAGTTCAGGTGTTCAGAGCTGAGCGGCAGAGCGTGATGTGAACTGAAAAGTTTTTCTGTCACAATATTATTTAAGGAATTGTTGAGCTAGCTAGCTAGCTAGCATACATTGTCACTATCTGCTAACGTTCGCTTTAGCCTTCGTTTTCTAATAGTTTTTTTCATAGGCTATAAACAGAGGTGGTATAAGGATAGATATTGTGCTAGAGTAAAAGTAGAAGTACTCAGATCTTGTACTTAATAAAAGTATAGTACTCAGATCTTGTACTTGAGTAAAAGTAGAAGTACTCAGGTCTTGTAGGCTACTTAATAAAAGTATAGTACTCAGATCTTGTACATGAGTAAAAGTAGAAGTACTCAGGTCTTGTACTTGAGTAAAAGTAGAAGTACCAGAGTGAAGGAATACTCTGTCACAGTAAAAGTCCTGCATTCAAAATGTTCCTCAAGTAAAAGTAGAAAAGTATCAGCATCAAAATATAGTTAATGTAGCAACAGTAAAAGTAGTCGTTGTGCAAATTGGTCCATTTCAGAATAATATATATGATATGTTTTATAATGATTGATCATGAAAGTGTTCTCAAAGCTGGTAAAGGTGCAGCTAGTTTGAATGACTTTGTATACTGCAGGGTAGCTTGTGGATTTACTCCAGGTGGAACTAAAGTCTGATTTAAGAGTTGATTATATTTCACATCATTCATCCACATCTGTGAAGTCACTAAATGTATTCAATACATGTAGTGGAGGAAAAGTACACCTTTTACCTCTGAATTGTAGAGGAGTAGAAGTACACAGTAGCAAAACATTGAAATACTTAAATAAAGTACAAGTATCTCAAAATTGTACCCAAGTAGTACTTGAGTTTATGAATTTAGTTACTTTACACCACTGGCTATACAGATAGAAAGACTAAGCTTTGCACAGAGGCATGAAAATACATTTTCAAAATGCTCAACAGTGTAGCCACAATTATAAACTGACTGCTACACAATTAAAATAAATGCTTTTATATATTTATATTAGATGTGACTCTTTGGCATTTCTGTTATTATTGACACTGCTGCTTTAGTTGTTCTGACTGCTAAAATCCTCTGTTATTCCTCATTTAAAGCCGATATTCCGTGGGGTCGGGGGCTCGGATCCTTGTCACCTTTTTCATACCTGATGAGTTTGCCTCCCTGACTACAGTTGCTTTAGCGTGTAGAAGCTAGTAAGCCTACTATTTGATTTGTTTTAGATAGGCACTACATGTTTCATATGCAGACCTTATTTTCCTGTTCCATGTTAAAATAAAACATTTTCAATGGTAATTTTTTTTTGGTCATGGAAAATGAGGTAAAGGTCATTGAGAAGTCATGGAAAAGTCATTGAAAATCATTGGTGAAAAAGTGTATGAACCCTGTTAATGATAAACATTCATACAGGTTAAATCATACACCCTCAATTTGTTATAAAAGATGAACAGTTTCACTCACAGAGGACAGCAGCAGTGAGTTTCTCTGACTCCACCACTGGAGGCTGTGGTCCGTCAGCTCCCAGCTCCAGCTTTGCTTCACACCAGAACTCGACTCCATCATCTTCTTTAGTGGAGGTGATGTTCAAAGTAAAGACTTCACTCACTGGTTTCTCATCTGTGTTTATGCTGCTCTGCGTGGGACCCAGTGCCGTCTGTCCTCTGTAGAAAGTCACTGTGAGGTTTTCCACAGGAGCAACATCCTGAACTTCACACTGCAGAGTGTACTGCTGACCCTCAGACATCGGCCCGGTGTGATTTACGAAGCTGATGGACACAATCTCTGGAGGCTCTGAGGAGACAGAATAATATAAACCTCACAGAAAAAGGAATTATGTCCTAACATGTAAGAAGGAGAAACTTATGAACTCACTGTAGACTGTCAGAGAAAGGTTTCTTTGGCACTGCCCTCCCTGGTCAGACATCGCATAACACACAGGCTTCATGCTCCATTCAGTCATCCTCTCCACTCTCCAGACCAGAAAACAATCCATCGTGAACTCAGGAGCTGCCTATAGTGGCAAAAAGTCCAACAAAACAAAGCTATTGATATAATGTTCAGATGAAGACTAAACAAGAGAATGCTTCCTGTGGCTGCTCTAGCTTAAACCATGGTTTAAAGGTCACCTATTGTGCAAAATTCACTTTTTCATGTCTCATGTCTCACTTTTTGTCCTGATCCATTTATATAAAAACCTGTCTGAAAATGAGCTGATCAGATTGTGAGATGTCATAATGTTGAAACAGAGGGGATTATGGGATGCTGCAATGATCTGTTTGGTGTTTGGAGCCAAACACTTCAGAGACATGTTTAGTATATATCCAACCCAGTCTCATAAAAAAACGTGTAATAACTACGTTGGTCCACAACGTAGGATGTAGTATTTCTACAAAAACGCCTCTGAAATTGTAAAATACCTAAGTTTTTTTTCACCATTCATTCCAATGTCACGTGATCTTCAAATTTCTCCCTGCAGAAAAAAAAACATGGCCGAATTTCGTTTTATTCTCGGTGTAAAATGCCTATTTTAAAGTTAGTTTGGCCATTAAAATGCCTTTTGATGTCATTTGATGGGAGAAATATGAGTTATTTCAGATTATGTGTGCAGTGGATGCACATGATCTTTAGTTTGCTAGTTATTACGAAGATTACTTCGGAAATTGTGTCTATACAACATTTCCATTGTCACCAACTGTTTAATGGTGTTATCTTTATTGCTACCCCCTTCCCAGTCAATGTATAGTGTTGGTCCACAGCGCAAACGTATTAGTTTAACTAAATCCGCATCTAAAATTGTGGCATAGATAGCCTACGTTATGTTCCCCTGTGCAATTCTCCATTTACTCAATAACACATAATTATCCTTGTGTTTATTTATTTGTTTGATTAATTAATAAACACAAGTTGGAGTCCGTCAGGACCGAGGGTCGGAGCAGCTAATTTGCTTTACAGAATATTACACCCGGAAGTAAGTATTCTCTCCGCTTCGCTTGACAAACTCCGTGATAGTCCTCAAGCTCTGTGATTGGAGAGTGTGCCGAGCGTCGAACAGCACTTGAAATGGGATGGAACCACGGCAGAATGTCCAAAACTGGATTTGAACGGGTCCCCCCCTCCCCCACCCCGTCCCCAGAACTACACATGCTGGCTATTGTGTTTCGCAACAAGTTCTCTATCTATGGCACGTCTCTACTGGGAGTGTAGTTTTAAAAGACGTTTTCGTATTTCCCATAATAAGAAGTGGCCAGTATTAAACTGTGTACATCCCTGGAGGTTTAGGGGATAGGAAACACTCAAATTTAAAACATATAATTAATAAATGGGTGAAAATTGCTTGTGCCCATAATGGGCAGCATTAACATATACCCACATGACAGCTAAGGTCAGAAGAGCTTTATTTAACAGCTGGTCTTATGTTTGTGACCCCTCCTGTTGTTAATTGATAAGCCTGAAACATGCACTTGTCAAGGTTCAGAGGCACATTTTGCAAATATGGCAGTAGCCATCGATCAGCTTAAGATAAGATATACTTTATTGATCCCAAGTTGTAAACATTTGTGTTACATCAGCATGTGTAACAGTTGTAAATATGCAGTGGTGTTTATTTGTAAATCATTTAGTATAATCACACACATTTTGTGTTTTATATTTAATAATTCTATGTTCTTTATTTATTGATTGTTCAATACCTGACAAGGCCGGAGATGAAAAACTTTGGTCGCAGGTTCCTCAACAGTGCATTACAAGACATCTATCAATATGTGTGTACCTCCACCATTAAGCTGTCGTATTCTGCACATTTATTATACTATCTACATACATCTTATATAAGAGTATAATACATATGTATAATATCAGTTAAAATAAGTGCTTCAACATAGTTAACATTGCTGGAGGTATACACAAAGTTTTTCATTCATTGCATAACTACACCGTTTGTGTATATGATATGTCAATAAACCTTAGAAAATCTTGAAATCTTGAAAGGGATGTGCAAAATAGTCATTATATACAGTCTTTAATTAACTATTAGTAGAGAATAACGAGTAATGAATATACTTTATAGGGATCCTATTAATATCTAATAATAAAAATAATGAAATTCAATAACATGCTTTAACCACTAGGTGTCCCTTTATATCAGCTGTGCACCTTTATGGTGTAAATACAGCCTATCTACCAATTGGATCAAATATAAAAGTCAGCCGAATTAGTGTTGATACTGCAAGGAGACGTATTGTGTGAAAAGAAATGTAAGATGTTTAATGGCTGATATATTTATGATCCATGTCACGTTTTCAGTGTTGGCGGCAGTTCCTCATGTTTGTCTAGAAGTCTTCTCATCAGGGCTCTATAAATAGAGAACTACGGCAGATATGTAATATTTAATGCAGCCGAACCGTGTATTACAATGCCGTTATGTGATGACTTTCAAAGAGAAAAGCAAGCACACTCGGAATAAAGTGTTTTCGGTCTGTTTCCGGTATTTGTTTATGACGATGTGATGTGAGATGTGAGACTGGAATTGCACAGGGGAAAATAACGTATAGGCCTATGCCACAATTTTAGATGCGGATTTTGTTAAACTAATACATTTGCTCTGTGGACCAACACTATACATTGACGGGGAAGGGGGTAGCAATAAAGATTACACCATTAAACTGTTACACAACATAACAGAAATAATATCGATAGCAGCGTCCCTAGCAACCACCTTGGTAACAATGAAAACTTCCTGAAGTAATCTTCGTAATAACTAGCAAACTAAAGATCATGTACATCCACTGCACACATACTGTAATCTGAAATAACAACTCATATTTCTCGCATCAAATGACATCAAAACGCATTTTAATGGCCAAACTAACTTTAAAATAGGAATTTTACACTGAGAATAAAACGAAGTTCGGCCATGTTTTTTTTTTCTGCAGGGAGAAATGTGAAGATCACGTGACTCTTGCGGCTTTCACACCAGCGCTTTTCCCTTTCTAGCTCCGAGCGGGAGCTTTTCTGGTTCAGCTCCGGTTTCCCTTTTCTGCTCCCGCTCTGTTCACACCACCCAGCACCCGACTGGTGCTGCCGCTGCTGCGTCATGACGTCATCGTTTACATCGCTGATTTGCTCCCCAACGGCATTACGGCGCTCACCACAACGGGGAACTGCGTCGGGTCGATGATCGTGTTGCTTTTAATCACACGAAGCCAGAATAAATTGAATAACGACTTTTTCCAACCTTATACTTTGCTCCAGAGTGCCGTGGTTCATTGTTTATTAATGTGTTTTCTGCATCATTTACCGACCGCTGCAGTGTTGGCTGCTCTTCCACGGGAGTTTATTCTCCTCCGTTAGCTCCCGGTTAGCTCACACTGCTGCGGCCACTCTAAAGTATTCACTGTCCGACTCACACAAGCAGCTGATACATATCCCCAGTTCCCCTTAGCCTAAGTGAATGTGTGTGTCAGTCTGAATTGACGCTGTTTGGTATCACAACGCTGTTATGAAAGTTTCTCTGGTATAAAATGGGTGATGTTAGCATAGCAACCAAAGCTAAACTGACTACTTGCTATTGCTATCCTATTGTGGCATAAACCGTTTTCTACAGGCACATTTTACCGCCGTATTTTTATTATGATTCTACTTGTGATAGTCGGACACGACAACCTGTGCAGCCCATGTATTGATTCCATCCGATAGCTGCTATAATACAAAACAAAACGTCTGCCTCTCTCCACAATGATCAATAACAGTGAACGGATGGTCAAAGTAAGGTACAAATAAACAGAACGAAGCCTGGTTAGTGTTGCCTGACTTTATAAAGTGTGTTTATAAGCACTACTGCTTACTAGGCAGGCATGACAGTTGACCCATGTTCAGGGGAGGAGGGTTTAGTTTCCTGTACGCCTCGACGTAAGAGAGACGTAAGCGACGCCACCTCTTAGCTCCGAAGCTCTTGCCTCTAGACCGACAATTTTTTGGAGCTGGAAGTGAACCCGATTCCGGAGCTAAGAGCCGGCACCGCTGCGGTGTGAACAGGAAAAACCGGCGCTTTTCAGGCTCCAGCTCCGAGCCGGAGCTGAAAAAGCGCTGGTGTGAAAGGGGCAATAGACGCCAGCCATTGGAATGAATGGTGAAAAAAAACGTAGGGATCTTACCATTTCAGAGGCGTTTTTGTAGAATTACTACGTCCTACGTTGTGGACCAATGCAGTTATTACACGTTTTTTTATGAGACTGGGTTGATATATCTGAGACCTGTAATATATTGATGAAAAACAGTATATAGGGGACCTTTAACATAGATAGGAGATAGATTCATTTCAATGTCAGCTGCTCACCGGCGCATGAAAACGGACATTTTGTGACCGTTATGCATTAATGTATAATTTAGTTTTGAATGTGGTCTTATCTTCAACTAAGAACAATAATAATTCATTAGATTGTAAACTTTAGTCTAAGTTATCTCAGTGGGTCTCAAACGGTTTGGTCATCTATGTAAACAAATATTTCCATCTCTTTAATATAGTTGTTCAAAATAAGTTAAATCATTCCAATGTCAGTAAAAAGTAAAAAATCAAAAAACACAGTTTAAAAGGGGAGTGATTAGTAAAATATGCATAAATAAAAAGAAAGAATGCAGACTAGGTATAAAGATAGGAGAGAGGAGTATATCAATGATGTGTTATTGGTTGTGAGCATATTCTAATGGTTTTTGGAGTATTGAAATATATACAGTTCTGTTTCATAAGAGTGTTGAGAGCTGTATCCATAAATCTCTTAATTTTGCTCTCAAAGTGCACCAGATTGATGCATAGCTTAAATTTAAATTTAATTTAATATATTTGTAGAAAGGCAGGAAATGGAATTAAATCGAGAAAAATGTTTCATTCCGGAGGAGTGTGTCCCCCACTTCTCAAACCAAAGTTACACCCTTGCTTAGAGTAATACCCATAAATTCACATCCTTTTTCTTGCCACTGTATAAAACATGGATCATCCAGGGACGGGGCCCATATAAAATGCGCACTTGCAATTTCTTAAGCCTCGCCTTCGATCTGCAAGCCTCGGGTCAGTCAAATAAATAGAGGGAAAAAACCTAAATATTCAGCTTTTTACCATTTTAGGGCCCAATGAATATCTTACCAGTGAGACTACCCAACCAACACCTATAAACCCCGCCCTCGATAAAGAGCAGTTGGCTGTGACTGGTTCTCCAAACCTGTGACAGGAAAGTGAATTGTTAATTTTTCACAGTAACATACCTCCCATACAGTAAAGCCAAGACAACACGGGGGATAGGTTCAAAGTAGGTGCTAGTCCTAGCCTTTTTCAAAGTGCTGAATGCCTGCTTCCATGCACAAATTGGACTAAAGTATAATTCTTTAAAACAAATTGAAATCACTTGTAAAATTAGCACAGATAATTGCTGGAGTAGGACATGGTTGGTATAAATTGACAAGGGAAAATATACTTTTGTACTATAAAATATCAGAAGATTGTTAAAAATCCATCCCAGATTATCAAAGCTCAAGATGATGTCTTTGAATAACTCTGTATATCAATGTAATATGATATAATACAGAGAAAAGCAAGAAATATTTTTGATTTAAAAGGTATCAAATAGCACGTTTAACTTGTAAAAGTACTTAAGTTATTAATGGATTATTTGGCTATTAATTAAAACTCCATAGCTCTAAGGGTGAAAACGTAATTTACCCGATGCTATTGTCACTTACTTTAATGCTTTGGTGTGAATTGACATGTTGCTTCAGATGTAATCCACATCTCCTAAGAGTGGTTTATAATAAATAAAAGGTAGACAGACCGGAACATTTGCTATTTGGAATTTAGCTGAAGACCCTTGAATCATAATTCTTTTAAAATTCATTAAAAGGAAAACTTAGCAGACCAAATGTTAATTGAAGAAACCTTTAGTCACAGTAATCCCCGACATACCTGACCACCAGAGAGGAGGGGGTCAGCGTCAGCGGGCAGCCGACCTCTGAGACGCTGAGAGGAGAAGAGGGTGGAGACGGGAGGATCCTAGCTGAGGGAGAGGGAGGCGAAATCTGCAAAGGAAGAGGTGGAGCAGGCGTGTAAACGGAAACAGGGGAGGAGGTAGCTGAAGGAAAGAGGGGTCAGGGAGGGAGAGGAAGAAAAACACAATCAGTTACTTCAATATGAAAAAATACAAATATTTCAAAGGCTCCCAGTCATTTTCCATTATGAAAGATTTGGTAATGGGTAAAAGTACTTTCTCTCAAAGAATACTTCACTTCAATACGAATTTTCTTTAAAGGTCCCCTATTATACTGTTTTTCATCAATATGTTATAGGTGTCAGATATATACAGAACATGTCTCTGAAGTGTTTTGGCCACCAAACAGATCATTGCAGCATCCCATAATCCCCTCTGTTTCAGCCCTGTTTCCAAAGTGCTGATTCTCTGTCTGTTACTTTAGATGAAAATAAGGAGCCCCTCCCCACGCCCCTCTGAGAGAGATTTGGTTAAAAAATAACTCAATCAGGAGGAGATTCAGGTGATAAGGGGGGGTTACCTTGGTTGCTGATTGGCTAATGGTTACACAAGACAAACAATCGTTATGACATCAAGTGTCCAAAATCTGAACAGCTCATTTTCAGACAGGTTTTTATAGAAATGGATCAGGACAAAAAGAGAGAATCTTTTTTCCTGACACTTTCAGAGTCTCTTTCCACAGAGGGGACACATGTTGAAGTAGAAGAGACATGAAGAAGAGGGGACACATGTTGATGTAGAAGAGACATGAAGAAGAGGGGACACATGTTGATGTAGAAGAGACATGAAGAAGAGGGGACACATGTTGATGTAGAAGAGACATGAAGAAGAGGGGACACATGTTGATGTAGAAGAGACATGAAGAAGAGGGGGACACATGTTGATGTAGAAGAGACATGAAGAAGAGGGGACACATGTTGATGTAGAAGAGACATGAAGAAGAGGGGACACATGTTGATGTAGAAGAGACATGAAGAAGAGGGGACACATGTTGATGTAGAAGAGACATGAAGAAGAGGGGGACACATGTTGATGTAGACTAGACATGAAGAAGATGGGGGACACATGGTGATGTAGAAAGAGACATGAAGAAGAGGGGACACATGTTGATGTAGAAGAGACATGAAGAAAGAGGGGACACATGTTTGATGTAGAAGAGACCTGAAGAAGAGGGGACAATGTTGATGTAGAAGAGACATGAAGAAGAGGGGACACATGTTGATGTAGAAGAGACATGAAGAAGAGGGGACCATGTTTGAGTAGAAGAGGACATGAAGAAGAGGGGACACATGTTGATGTAGAAGAGCCATGAAGAAGAGGGGGACACATGTTGAAGTAGAAGAGACATGAAGAAGAGGGGACACACATGTTGATGTAGAAGAGACATGAAGAAGAGGGGACCACATGTTGATGTAGAAGAGACATGAGAAGAGGGGACACATGTGATGTAGAAGAGACATGAAGAAGAGGGGACACATGTTGATGTAGAAGAGACATGGAGAAGAGGGGACACATGTTGATGTAGAAGAGACATGAAGAAGAGGGGACACATGTTGATGTAGAAGAGACATGAAGAAGAGGGGACACATGTTGATGTAGAAGAGACATGAAGAAGAGGGGACACATGTTGATGTAGAAGAGACATGAAGAAGAGGGGACACATGTTGATGTAGAAGAGACATGAAGAAGTGGATTTTGCATAATAGGTGACCTTTAATGATGTGTTGTCTTCCCTTCAACTGCAATTTTGTCCTGGTTTTACTGCTCATATATAATCATTAAAAAAATCCTTATCCAAGTCTGCTATACACCTTTTAAAGCCGCCATTATTCCGACTTATTACCCCATGTGTAACTTTTCTTATTGGCATTATGGTAAATAAATGTCATTTATCCTTATACCTTATTCTTGATTCATAAAAAGGCTAAAATGTTGACTATATTCGAAACCAGAATAACTTTTCTTAAAGGGGCCCTATCCTTCTTATTGTCAAGTTCATATATAAAGAACGAAATCTGAAACGTGTTATTTTTGAAGCAAATAGATTAAATAACCTCCCGACAGACAAACATTTAGACAATGGGTCTACTTGGAAGGTTAATAAAGTTTAATCACAAATTGAAAGTCTTAACGTTTTTTTCTTTTGTATATCTTTATATTGTTGTATTTATGAGTCATTTCCCTTTCCTTACATAATACACTCAAGGGTCAATTGAATTTTGCCATCTCGTGAAATAATACTGTTTCTAGCTGATCTATTGTGAACCATTGTTTTGTAGCACTGAATACACCCAGTGTGTTCCTCTGAGGAAGGAAGGACACCCTGCCCCATTGAGAGAAGTCGCTCCTCTTTTCTATGACCATTGTTCCCTGAACCCTGAGTTTGTTCTGACGCCTATCAGATGATCTCACTCACAGTAGCTCTCCGGGGTGTGTGTGTGTGGGTGTGTGTGTTGGCATACCGGCTGTCAAAATTAATAGCTCTGTTTCCCACATGCCAGTCAGCAAAATGAGTGAATGATGTCCATACTGACCGTGACAAAACAGTGTTTCTGTCTTTTGTAAAATCAGGAATCAAACTCCAGCCTTCAATATATAATCAGTAGTACTTCTATTCTTTTATCTGATTACAAGAATACGTTTCCTGTATTTGGTACGTGAAATTCTGCTCACAATGTTCAGAGCTGCCAGTGTTTTCCGAGACAAGATTTTTCTTATTTTCCAGTGAGTATATTACTTTATGTTAAGTTAAGTAGATATATGTCAATTGTACAAAATTGAAACTATACTTTCTGTGATTTACTAGTAGTCAGTGATGGTAATACTCATATCCTTTACTGAGTTTAAAATAAAAGATAAACATTCAAAATGTAATTAAAGTATGTTAATATTAGCAACAAATTATACTTGATGTATTAAACACTAATGTTGTCGAAGTGCAGATTTTGGATTCTACAATTCAACCAACAATTGACTGTAGTGCCATTAACTTTTATTCAACTTTATGAGGTGTGGAGAAATGTCCTTATTAGCAATGCATTAAATTATATATTTTGTTGAATGTACTAACAATTTTGATTGCACTGCAACTGCAGGATTTCAAGTATAAAGTAGCATAAAATGGACACATTAAGTATAAATACATCAAAATCATACTTAAGTAAAGTAAATGTATACTCACTCACTTATTTTGCCCAACTACTAATGTTTTCTTCACTGTTTTAAATGATATCACAGTGATGATTTCCCCTTAGTTATCCTTTCTACCTGTAGTTCCAAATATGGGGTTTCTACCAAATCTAAGTGACTCAAGATGAATTCAGATAGTGGCAAATAAAATATATTATTGCTCCCCAAAACACTGGAGTGTTACGTCTTTAAATCTGTAAACAAGTTTGAAAATCACACAACATGAGAAGGGACAACCCCTCTTAGGTTCAGCTGCTCTCACATTCACAACCTGTGACGAAGTACAGCAGAATTCACTGTAAGAGCTCACAAGCCCAAAATAACTTTTCTGTTTCAAATGCACCGTCTTTATCACTTGTTCTACACTGACTGTTTCCACATGGAGCCAACTTTCTCACCCTGTATCCTCTCATCATGCCTGCATTCATCCAGCTGTCATTCCACCCACCTGAGATGAACAAGCAAAACAGCAGAAGTGTGATTGGCCGTCCAGACGCACACATCCTTAGTCTGCAGATATTACGTCTCAAACACCGGGACTGGCTGTGTGAAGCTGGCAGAAACACAGAGTAACTTCTGAGGAGAAACACGGAGTACCTCAGGTATTTATGGGAGGGTGGGTGGGTGTGTATTCATGTTTTTTTAGCGTTTGTCTGAAGCTGATGATGGGGCGATTCCTTCACTTTGGCCCCTGATACTAACCATGGGCGTTCTCTGTTAGTAAATCAAGAGAGGAAGGAAGGGAGGGTCAAGAATAATGCAGGGGGAGTTTATGTGTGTGTGTGTGTGTGTGTGTGTGTGTGTGTGTGTGTGTGTGTGTGTGTGTGTGTGTGTGTGTGTGTGTGTGTGTGTGTGTTGCCTCCCTAACTTCCAGAATGCTCCTTTTATTATTGACAAGCTTAGCCCTCTTTCTTCTCTCTTTGTTTAAATATGTAACGCAGTCTCTACCCTTGGTCTTTCACTCTGCAGACAGGGATGACTGCCTTACAAGAAGTAAAAAAAATGACAAAGATTTGATTCTTTATCCACATTCGATAAATGAAAAGGTGTTGAGTTTAAGCCTCGTAATTATTTTTATTTCATTTATCTCATAAAGGCTGCTCATATATAAACATTTGAAAAAGTGGAATCAGTATCCTCATGTCCTTTACTTCAGTACTGATGATGATATTCGCTCTTCTTTTTCTGACTCACCTTTACTCACCGCTGGGTCACCAGACCTTCCTTCCACCAACACACTGACCTCCTTTTCCCCTCTCTCTCCAAGTGAGGTTCTTACCCTCATTACCTCTGCCCGCCCTACCACCTGTCCTCTGGACCCTATCCCTTCAAACCTCCTTCAGACTATCGCTCCTGATATTCTACCGTTTCTCACCCATTTCATCAACACTTCTCTAACTTCTGGTCACTTTCCAAACAGTCTCAAGGAGGCAAGAGTAAACCCTCTCCTAAAGAAACCCACTCTCAACCCGTCTGATGTTATAAACTACAGGCCTGTCTCTCTCCTCCTGTTCCTGTCTAAATCACTTGAACGCGCTGTCTTTAAACAACTCTCCTGTTATCTCCATCAGAACAACCTTCTGGATCCGCACCAGTCTGGTTTCAAGGCAGGTCACTCCACAGAAACTGCTCTCATTGCTGTCACGGAGGAACTGCACACTGCCAAAACTGCATCCCTCTCCTCTGTCATCATCCTGTTGGACCTGTCTGCTGCATTCGACACGGTGAATCATCAGATCCTCCTTCGCACTCTCCAAAAACTTGGAGTTTCAGGCTCTGCACTTTCCCTCCTCACCTCATACCTGAAAGACCGTACCTACAGGGTGACTTGGAGAGGGTCTGAGTCCGACCCTTGTCAATTAACTACAGGGGTCCCTCAGGGCTCTGTTCTTGGTCCCCTCCTCTTCTCCCTGTACACAAACTCGCTCGGATCAGTCATTAGCCCGCATGGTTTTTCTTACCACTGCTACGCTGACGACACCCAATTAACTCTGTCCTTTCCCCGCTCAGAGACCCAGGTCGTCGCACGCATCTCTGCTTGTCTAGCTGACATCTCTCAGTGGATGTCTGATCATCACCTCAAACTCAACCTTGACAAGACTGAGCTGCTCTTCCTTCCGGGAAAAGATTGTCCCACTCTTGACCTAACAATCAACATCGGCACCTCAGTTGTTTCCCCGACTCAGACTGCAAGGAATCTGGGTGTGACCCTAGATAACAACCTGTCCTTCACTGCAAACATCGCTACTACAACCCGTTGCTGCAGATACACGCTTTACAACATCAGGAAGATACGTCCCCAGCTGACACAGAAAGCGACGCAGGTTCTGATCCAGGCTCTCGTCATCTCACGCCTAGACTACTGCAACTCCCTCCTGGCTGGTCTACCTGCATGTGCCATCCGACCTCTGCAGCTCATCCAGAATGCAGCGGCTCGTCTGGTCTTCAACCTACCTACATTTTCCCACACCACTCCGCTCCTCCGCTCCCTTCACTGTCTTCCGGTAACTGCTAGAATCCACTTCAAGACACTGGTACTTGCTTACCATGCTGCGAATGGATCTGGCCCTTCGTACATCCAGGACATGGTTAAACCGTACACCCCAGCACGTGCACTACGCTCTGCATCAGCCAAACGACTCGCTGCGCCCTCGCTGCGAAGGGGACCCAAGTTCCCAACGGCAAAAACACGTGGGTTTGCTGTCCTGGCTCCAGGATGGTGGAATGAGCTCCCCATTGACATCAGGACGGCAGATAGCTTGCACATCTTCCGGCGCAAACTGAAAACTCATCTCTTTCGACTCCACTTCGAGCGATAGAACTATTAACGAAGCACTTTTATACTAATAAAGGACTGGCTTTTCTAAAGCCAGTTGAGTAGCACTTGAAATGTTTTTGCTCTATGAAGCCTGATGTACTTATATGATTCTGTTTTCTTCAAGTTGTATTTTGTTGGTCGAACGCACTTATTGTAAGTCGCTTTGGATAAAAGCGTCAGCTAAATGCAATGTAATGTAATGTAATGTAATACTGGTAGAAACACTCCATTACACGTTAAAGTCCTAATTTCAATATGATCCTTAAGTAAAAGTACAGAAGACTTGACAGCTAAATGTACTTGAAGTATTTAAAGTAAAAGTACTTTTCATTCAGAATGGCTCCATTGAAAAATGTTTCTACAATATTTAAATCTTTCTTTTGATCATAGGGAAAGGGACATTTTGATCTTTGATTTTCATCGTCAAAAAATAAACGTTTTCCCCTCATTTTACAGTGGGTTAATGACTTAACGTAAAGTGAAATACCAAAGTAAAGTACAAGTATTAAACAAATGTGACTTAATGGTGGGGTAGGTAAGTTTGAGAAACCGGCTCGAGATACACTTTTTGTTATATTCCATGGAATGCTCTTAACATCCCGATAGCAATGAATATCTAAAGTGCTTTGACAAAAAATCCATGAAAAAATGTCATCTGTGGAAGCCGTAGTACTGTAAAAAGCACGACCAATCATCTGAGCCGGCCCGGCTAAAGTAACTGGATGGCCTACCTGCCTGTCAGCCTTCCATCTGGGCACAAACTTATCTCGTGCCCTCATTGGTCATGTGCGTGTTCGTGTGTGTTGGAGGAGGGGCTCTGTAAGGAAGTGGCAGATTTTTTCCTGCTGTGTATTTTCAAATTCTAGCTCACTCGAGCTGGTTTCTCCAACATTACCTACCCCACCTTTAAGTAAAGTATTTTTTTACTTCTCAGGAGTTGCTTTAACTTCCAGTAACTGCTAGAATCCACTTCAAGACAATGGTACTTGCATACCATGCTGCGAATGGATCTGGCCCTTCCTACATCCAGGACATGGTTAAACCGTACACCCCAGCACGTGCACTCCGCTCTGCATCAGCCAAACGACTCGCTGCACCTGCACTGCGAGGGGGACCCAAGTTCCCATCAGCAAAAACACGTGGGTTTGCTATCCTGACTCCAAAATGGTGGAATGAGCTCCCCATTGACATCAGGACAGCAGAAAGCTTACACACCTTCCGGCGCAGACTGAAAACTCATCTTTTTTTAATCCACTTCGAGCGATATAATTACTACAGATAATTACTAACAAAGCACTTATATTCTAATTGTAGGTGCCATGATGCTACTTAGCCCAAGTTCATTATTTGTATTATTATTATTTGTTTACGTCACTTATTTGTTTGTTGAGCACTTCCGGTAATTGTCACATGGGTGTGGTTTGTCTATTTAAGTCACCTGTTTCATGTCGAGTGCGGATGACAGAGGGTGAGCTTGTGCTGTCATTTTTTCTGTTGACCGTTTTGTCCATAGTTACTATGTTATGATTTTGTTTATTAAATATCCCAAAAACTATCTTGCTTCACTATGGACTTTCTCTTCGAAACGCGTCACAGTTTATAGCCAAGTTTAGCCTCTCGGCGACTCAAACGTAACTGGGGATTGAGCCGCCACACTAATAAAGGACTGGCTTTTCTAAAGCCAGTTGAGTAGCACTTGAAATGTTTGGCTCTATGAAATCTGATGTACTTATATGATTCTGTTTTCTTCAAGTTTGTATCTTCTTGGTCGAATGCACTTATTGTAAGTCGCTTTGGATAAAAGCGTCAGCTAAATGCAATGTAATGTAATAAACCCAGTTACTGTAAACCCACGCTACCTGCCAGAAATCAACCCCCAGACATACAAACAACTACCAGCATTTGATGCTTTACTCCATGGAGATAAGACAGACTATTGGACATCATCAGGTGGACACAAACACACCTTAAAATGCTATTTGGCTACAAGTCTTCTGGAAGTGTTGTTGAGCTGTATTAGATGATATTAGTTGGGAAGTTTCTGCACTTGTTTTTACTAACGGGCAATAAATGATTTCAGCCTGTTAAATATGAACCTTGTTCTCTGTGTGTTCGTGCTCTGTAATCGACTCACACCCATTCTCACTGTAACAGCTTTCGGTAATCTTCCCGTCAGACATGAGGAAGTGTGGGGTATAAAGTCTGGACTGGCTTCAGGTGCGCCCCAGTTTCTGTTTCTTGTTGAGGGTTTGACGAAACATTTTGGATATTTGAGCTTCAAAGAACTGACTTCAGGTAGGTGATCTTGTCTTTTCTTTTTTGGTTGAATAACTTTAAACAGCTGGACTTCTGTAGGATATTGGGTCTATCTAAATGCCGCCATGTACTGTATCTGATCATTTAAAGCTTTCACTTTTTAACCGACCTTAAACGAATGAATAAATTATTAACAAATGTAAAAATATAAAACTACACACTATTAAACTATTCAAAAAAAATTCAATATCAACAATTCCATTCCCTGCGTCCAACGACCACTACACCACTGTACACACACACACACACACACACACACACACACACACACACACACACACACACACACACACACACACACACGTGCACACAACACGATGCACTTCCAAGCTTTTGCTGCTACGCACTAATACAGAGAAACAGAACAATAAATTGCACCATACAAGGATTACAAATCAACATTATAGTCAACTAATGAAATAAATTACAGAACACGTATTTAACGTAGCCTTAATGCATATAGCAATCCTGTG